TAACACAGACATTGAGATCTTTCTGCTCGTTGATGGCTCGCTCCCAGTCTCTCATGTAGTCAAAGACACAGTTGCTGTCTACTAGACCGTCCACAAACCTGCACAAATAACATTTTACCAAATGAATTTATTGCTTCATATTTTTATTTGTTTGGTTAGTTGGTTCATTATGATTTGCATTATATTTGTCCGTCGTTCTTGTCTGTAATGTCACTGGTTCATGCGCAAATACTTTACTGGAAGAGAGCAGAGAATTATTTTTTGTTGTTGCGAAAATACAAGTTGTCAAGTGAGACGGAACTGTGGGGGTCGCTGTCTTTCTCTTTACATTACAGATAAGTTCACAATAACTTTTATTTTAGGTATTAATTTTTCATAAAAAGACATAGTTTCATGTACTTAAACTTTTTTTTCAAAAGAGATTTTTGAATACTTGCATTAAAACTTTTTTAAAGATTGTGCTTCATGCATGTGACCTTTTATCAAAAGCCATAATAATTTTATCCGTGTAACCTTTTCTCAAAAGACATAGGTGGATTTACTCCGTTATCAGAAGTCTTAGTTTCATGTGTAGAACTTTTTATCAAAAGACACAGATTCTAGGGAGGAAGCGTCTACATAATCAAACAACCACTGCTTCCCATCCGTACTTTGGGAACATCGTCGCCGTCAAATACACACATAAAATATTTTAAATTTTAGCTATGTGCACAACGCTCAAAACTGTTTCATTGCAATATAAATTCCCTGTTCATCTCTTTCGGGCCTCTCTCATAAGCAGTTACAGGCACTGATTATGTAAGCTAACAAATTGGAGTGGTAAAGTCTACCCCAAAATGTGAGGGGGACTAATTCCTATTAATCTCGGGGTTGCTGTGAATGTTCTTTTTTCTGGACTTTTTACCTCACTTTAATCAGATCATGATAATATGATTTCCTGGCCGCGAAAGTGAGACAAAGACAGCCAAATTTGAAACCAAATAATTTTTAGTATTGCCATATATGCTTTTTGCCTTCTGTTTGTGTACTCACATCTCTAGTCAAATCTACAGTTGGAAAATCTCGAGACCATTATTCGCACCATACAGTACTTCACCTTTTATCAAAAGACACATTTTCATGCACTTAATTTTTTATCAAAGTACCAGACAAAACAAACTCTTTTACAACAATCTACTGCCCATCACCCGGCAGAAAATGAACTGCCAAAAACGTTTTGGGTCGACGTGGAATCTAAAAAAAAAATTCAAAATTCAAAACAGTTCTATTAATTCCTAACTCGTTCAACCTCTTGCAACCTTTATAAGCTTTTTTTTTTGGTTTGTTTTAAGCGAATTTTATGTAAATTTCAAACATTAAATTGTTTTATTCCCTTTTAGTTGGACTTTGAAGTTTATCACTACGAAAAAAAAATCTACACATGTAAACAAACCTGGGAAGGTATTTGGAGAAATCCGGGTTGTTATACTGGTATTCCACAAGTCTATTGTGGTGATAGAAGAAGGAGACTGCCACGTCTTTGGGGTTTCTGTACACATGGATCACCTTGATGCCTTTCTTTAAGATGTCTTTGGGCTGGTTCTCGAAGAACTGAGGAGGCAATAAGCAATCATGGTTACATACATCAAGAGAACTGGGGGAAAACGACGGTAGTCTCAAACTGGAAATTTTGAGGGTACCAATTTTAAAAGCTTGTGTACTTATAACTTATTACTTGTTTGACTGGTTGTTTATTGTAAAGTGTTGTTGAATGGGAAATCTAACAATATTAATTAACCAGCAGTTGAACAGAAATACAGTTATGAGTCAACGAGCTTTCAAAATCGGTACCCTCACGATTTTCAGTTGGTGACCGCAGTCGTTTTTCCCTTGCAGTCTTTACATGGTTACAACAAAATGTAAGTGATTGGCGGGAGCTCTGGTGTGGTTTGCCCCCTCCTTCCAATCGAAAATCTAGCGTCCATGTATCTCAACCTTCTTCTCTTTGTTTGTTACTCCCCGGTAACACCTCTAATTTTCGGCATCTATATCATCTCTTTGTATTGCCAGTGCTGTTTAATC